TGGTTGAAGTGTTGTGAAATGTTGTCCTATTTCCTGGATCGTTTACATAAGGGACACAACCCAAGACCTAGTTTACAAACAGAAAGTATGATTCGGAGAAACTATCGAGATACACGTAAACTGTTCCGGATGATTTCAACCGCTTTGTGATTCAAAGGTACATATTTGATATCTCTGACGATGTACCCTGACTCTTTTTATTAATTCTGCTATAATATGTCATATTCAATGAATAATTATAACCGTGGGAACGACTTGTCTCCACTACCGTGATGCGAGAGCCGACAATTGGGGACATCGGGTCACACAGTGAATTGGGTACCTAGCACATATTATCAACAATATGAACTCGGCTTCCGCTTATATATCAGCCTGGTTCCCTGGGTCTATTGCGCCTGTGCTAACGCTCCGACACTGACCCAGGTAACCACTCGCCGAATGGCGGCCTTCACTGCAGGGAGACCCGCCATACATTTACTATAGAAAATCCGAGAACGGGTGGTTAAATTTTTTCATAGCATTTTCATCGATACTATGGCAAAATATACGTCACCAGAACAACGGCCATCGTTACTTTCAGCTTACGAACACGTTATTTAAGCAGTTTCGAGACACGAAAATCGTCGTCACACTGGCGATATGTAAACAATGACACACCCTATTTTCATCACCGACATGTGCTTTGATATTTCGTGTCAGCTCGCTATTGCCACGAAATCGTACACATAAACCATGGATCTGAACGACCACATTGATTGACTGTAGTTAGTATCTTTATTTTAGCAAATTTGATGACGAAAATATCGCCGATTATGTCCCGTGTCTGCCAGCGTTTCAGGGTAGGTTTAGCGGATACATATTGCGTTTAGATCATATGGATGATGTTAACGACAAGGTTTATCATTCTGATATTTAGCCTCTACAAAACAACATGAAACAGTTAACATACCAATATCATTCAGAAATGTTTATGATTATAATAAAACATGGTTAATCAAATGATCTGTATACAAAAATGCACATACACAGCTCAAAACTATAAATTTGATACGTTATATTACTAAACTGAATATATAAAAATACATGGTATGATCAGTCTGTTAATACATTGGTATAACATATATGTGAAGAACATTTTAGACAGATGAACATTCTACTATTTGTGAACTGTTGAATTACGTGTGATTTTTGTCAATGAAACCTGTCATGAGAACTGTAGTTTTTATGGCTTGAAGCCAGTATCAGAGAATACATTTGCTGTACATTGGTTATTTTGAGCATGATAACCCTGGTGTTATTAGAATAGATTTAATACAAATCATCTGATATCAGCAGTTTTTCAGTCAGATATCAGTTAACTAGTTTGGTTAAATGCTGCTATGGACTGTTTGCATTACTTTATTTTACTTGACACCAGTGCATGCATACATACTTCAACACACCATCAGTGATTTGGTTTTGAAGTTTGGATAATTTGCTCTGTACTTGTTGACCAGTTCACTATTGTGATTTTATTTTTTTTAAATCAAAAGTGTATGGTGTGTATCTTGACATTGTGTCTTTATATAGATATTGGGTATTGTGTTAACACCTAAACTTATTTGGACTAAAGCAATAACTACTCTTGGTGCACAGAGTAAAAAGGCTGTTATGGCATTGTACAGATGTCAAAAGAAAGGTGAAAATAAACCATGTCAAGATTAATTATGATATTTCATGCTATGATTGTTCCTATAGTGTGTAATGGTGCAGAAGTATAGGGGACCTCATATTGTAAAATTATTGAAGATGTACAGCATAAAATGTGTAAATGGTTTCTCAATACAGCAAACAATGCTATGGTTTGGGGCCTAGAATGTGGCAGAACCCCTCTCCAACTTGTGCACACCACAAGCCCTATAAGGTATTGGTGCAGGCTACTGTATTTGGATGAACGCAAACTGCCTCTCCAATGCCGTACCACATGGCTCCTCATATTAAAAACATTCTGTTTAGACTCATTCATATTTAGAATATTCTGATTTGAATATGTGTGGTTAGCACAAGATGTGAAGATATTTATTCGCCTTTTGAGACAAAAGATCATTTGACAACCTACGACAAGCAGGGTGTGGTTCTATCAACAGTTTATCTGTTTCCTTCTATTAACAGCATTTTTAAAACAAAGAATCTTACACTTCCTATCCATGTACACCTAAGACTATCCATATATACAAATATTTCATAATGTGTCCGTTTTCCTGTTATATACAAGTAGCTCTATATGGGGTGGGGAATGGTTTACATTCAATGTTAGATATAATGGCCCGATGTGTAATCAACTTCCCAGTAGAGTCACGCAGATGTTGCCATACTAAATGACTAATGTTAAACTAAAATGAAAATAGGGTGTGTGTCATTGTTTACATATCGCCAATGTTACGACGATTTTCGTGACTCGAAACTGCTTAAATAACGTGTTCGTACACTGAAAGTAACGACGGCCGTTGTTCTGGTGACGTATATTTTGCCGTAGTATCGATGAAAATGCTATGAAAAAAATTGTAACCACCCGTTCTCGGATTTTCTATAGTAAATGTATGGCGCGTCTCCCTGCAGTGAAGGCCGTCATTCGGCAGTGGTTGCCTGGGTCAGTGTCGGAGCGTTAGCACAGGCGCAATAGACCCAGGGAACCAGGAGCGTTAGCACAGGCGCAATAGACCCAGGGAACCAGGAGCGTTAACACAGGCGCAATAGACTCCAGGGAACCAGGAGCGTTAGCACAGGCGCAATAGACCCAGGGAACCAGGAGCGTTAGCACAGGCGCAATAGACCCAGGGAACCAGGCTGATATATAAAGGGAAGCCGAGTTCATATTGTTGATAATATGTGCTAGGTACCCAATTCACATACTAATCTTGCATTGCAAGCTTGTGTTGTTCCATTTGAGCTGACGCCACGAGTGTTATGTTATGTTATCGACGTGGCCTTTGAGAGTACCTGGCGTGTGCATACATGTATTTCAGCTGTAGAAGTGTTGTGGTGATGATAGTGCTCTTCAGTCTTGTGGTAAATATTATGCACATTAATTGTATGGCGGTGGGGTAGCCTTGTGGTCAAAGCGATCGTTCGCCACGCCGAAGACGAGGGTTCGATTCCCGACAGGGGTACAATGCGTGGTGCTCATTTGTGGAAAGCCCCGCCGTGATATGGCTAGAAAATTGCTAACAGAGGCGTAACATATAACTCACTCACAACAAAATGTAACTTAGGACTCAACATTTGCTACAAGTCAAAACATTGATTACACAACAGTCTCGTTGACTGGGTTCCATCCTATTGCGCAACTTATTACAATAACCAGTCAAGAATTTTGAGACCGCTCATTCAACTGAATATATAGATATAAATCAGTATAATTTGCTACATCTAATCATTTGTATATTGCAACACTATTCTCTTTCTAATCCCTTCGAACACGTCGTTCAGCGAGCTCTGTCGCACAGCGTGCTCTGACAAACGGAAATCTGGAAATAGTGGAAATCTCAAAACGAGGCTCGGCCACTAGAAATGTTTGGCGGTCTGGTATATCAATCACATGGTACGTTACCAAAATACACTTAATAAGCGCAAAGAACACATAACAGGTGTAACCAGTGAGCCAGATGAATTGAGAATTATTGTACGACCTCTTCCAACAGGGCAGTCTGTGACGTCTTATAGTTACCGACATGCTGCCTAAACCTCGACATAAAATATAGAAATACGATATTTTTAAACTTTGAAAATAAAATCAATTTGTGAAATACATTTTCTTATGAAACTAGGGATTGGAAATTCAGTGTAACCATAGTTGTTTGTGGTGTCTCTTTCACTTTCACACGAGAAAATTTGGATAGGCCGAAAAGTAGGTCATTATCTGAATTAGTTAATGGTCCCATGAAGATCCGGGGTAGAATAGGTCTTCAGCAACCCATGCTTGCTGTAAAAGGCGACTGTGCTTGTCGTAAGAGGCGACTAACGGGATCGGGTGGTCAGGCTCGCTGACTTGGTTGACACTTGTCATCGGTTCCCAATTGCGCAGATTGATGCTCATGCTGTTGATCCCTGTATTTTCTGGTCCAGACTCGATTATTTACAGACCGCCGCCATATAGCTGGAATATTGCTGAGTGCGGCGTAAAACTTAACTCACTCACTCACTCACTGAATTGGTTAATGAGACTGATGTTTCGGTTGTGTACTGAAAGGGGCGCAGGGATGGTTGAGGTGGGATATGTTTTACACTACATCAGCACAACAAGCTATAAGTCTTAAATTAGATTTAATATAATCATAGGGGCATACAGATTTTTGAGGGGACCATGGAATTTTCAGCAAATTCAGCCATTTGAAACGTAAATCTATAATAACTGAAAGTAATTAATACAATTTCTGATCAAGTGGAAAACATCATGGTGTGATATTATATATACCGCACACAAACATAAATACTTGTGGAATGTACATGCATGAACACCTACTGATGATGAATAAATCTGTATATTCTCTGATCAGTGTCATATTTTGATCAAGTACAAAACATACTGTGATGTTATATATACCGCATACAAATATGACAACTGTATTATGTAATGTATATGTATGAACACCTACTAATTATGAATAAATCTGTATGTTCTCTAGAGTTATTGAGGAGAAAACTGTGGTCATGAGTAAACTAACAAAGACTTACAAGGATCAGTTATGTACCTGGATGGGAGGGAGGAAGGACTTCTATCTGCTGTACCAGGCAACCAGAGACGGATGTAGCGGCCGACCTTCCACCAGAAGTGTGACAACAAGGGAGCAACCGTCTCCGTCTGCTACAACACTGCTGGATATGTGTTCGGTGGCTATACATCGGTCAGCTGGTCAAGTGATGGAACCTACAAATCAGACAACCTGGCCTTCCTGTTCAGGCTTCAGGCTGCGAATAGTTTTCAACCACAACAGTATCCCGTAGTTACAGATCCCGCCAAGTTGCAGTATACCGTCCATCATAATGCTCAGTATGGACCTACCTTTGGAGGAGGACATGATCTGTGGACCTTCAGTTCAACAATTACCAAACAGAGCAATTATTTCCAAGGCAATGGCAGCACACATCCACACACTTACAACATGCAAGGACATAATGTCACCAACTTTACAGGAAACAATTTACAGTTTACTGAAGTGGAAGTATATCAAGTTACAGGTGACAGTATCTTAAACCTTTCATTGAACAATTATATCTTTATTTTCCATTTGCTAAAGAGAACGCTGTGTACAGATATCAGTGATTGCCTATTGAAGCGTAGAGTTTTAACTTGAGGAGAGATAGAGCCAAGCAAACGATGCCGTCTTGGTAACTGGTCATTTAAGGCTGTCTATGCCGTGATGGTCAAGATTGCCTGAACGATATGTAGCTCCAGGTTATACAAAAGTGAAATAGTCCAGAAGCTATAATGTTGTCAAAACAAGGTGACACTTATCTCTGACAATACCAACCAGTTTATGTTGTACTGCAATTTCCTCTTCATACCAAGTGTTACCACAAGTTCAACACGAGGATCAGTTAGTAAATGTTATGTTCTGTAAAATATCATATACTATGCATAAATGAGGATATTTGGAGAAATGATTTCAGAACACGTTGAACGCCAAGATGAGACCCCGTGGCGAAAGCTACCTGAGGTGAAACAAAAGGTTTGCATTTCGACTTGTTACAAAGATTGACCTTTCCTACGAACTGACCCATTCCTGAAGACATTTGGGAAACTTTGCTTTGCTCTAATACAGGATGGTGTAGTTCTAGTCAAGAAGAACAAGAGTAATCATACATCGGTCAAATAGCCATTAGCTAATACAGGAAGGTGTATCTGTTATGTCACTCCACAGATATTTTAATGTCCAATTACAACCTGTTACTTGTAACTATCAGTTTATTTGCAGCTGTTGTTTCCTGCTACACATTGAGATTTAACGTGTGTCCACAGGTACTGAAGTCTGAACTGGAAACGTACTCACCCCCGGGGAAGCTGGATCATGTGAACATCTTGTTGCTGGGGGCGGTTGGATCGGGCAAATCCAGCTACTTCAACACCATCAACTCTATATTCCAAGGGCGGATAACCTCCGTCGCCCGCAGTGGGAGTGCAGAACACAGTCTAACAACTACTGTAGGTTGACACGTATCCCATCTAACTACTAATTCAATGAGTTATTTGTTATGTTTATTTGGTAAATAGAATGACTAAATGCTGAAAAGGTAAAAGTATACTGATATTTTTCACTGGAACGAAATAATGCAGCTTCATGTATGAACTAGTATCAGTCCTCAATGAGCAATGGTTTTGATCCAGGAGAAAGCACACACGTAAAGCAATTACAAAATTTGGACTTTCTTGTCAAACAACATTTACTTCAGTTCCTGACCCAAATAAGTTGATAGTTTCACAAATGATTACGTCAATATATCTTTTACTGATCTTATTTTCAGTATCGTTTGTACAAGATAAAATCGACCGACAGTCGACAGCCCTTGAAGGTTCGACTTTGTGACACAAGAGGACTTGAAGACGGTCTCAATCTTGATCTGTCGGACCTGATGGCGATCATCGACGGTCATTTGCCGGACAGATTCACGGTAATATCTTATCTCATTTGGACTTACAATGAAGGCACTCGTGAGGATCCGCAGTATGCAGATATGGATCTGGTTCCATGAAACGTTCATTAATTAGAAGACCATGTATTATACACTAATACTGCATTAAATCGTTTTACATCATTAGTCAGTGACATCATTGATGTACCTGTAATATTGCCGTTCTTTCCTGTGACTTAAGTTATCGACATCAACTCTATATATGTAAAGATATGAATATTTTTAATTTAGTTTACATATCAGTATTGAACAGAACTGAAAATATCTCTATTTATATTTACTATAGTTCTTCTACTTTGGATTTTGAGGATTATCTTTTCAATTATTTACCGATATCTTGAAACTATTAATGATATCTTTAAGTATAATACAGATATCTTTAAAACGATTGAAGATATCAGTTATTTCTTAATGATTAATACATCGGCATATCATATTTTAGCATATCATTACCAAATGTAAATGTTTTCATTGTCCTGTCATTAGATTCGGGGAATCACCTAAATATTTCTTACAAACCCAACTGGCTCGTTTATTAGAATACTGTAACGTTTGAGGACTTACTGTTAATATTGATAAAACCAATGTGGTCATGTTATGAAAATCAAATATTCCACTAAGATATGTTTTTACTTCCTGTTTGCATGCATGCCAATTGCATACATCAATGTTCATAATGTGAGTCATCGGGTTGTCCGGTCCAGTGACCGCCCAGGTTACAGACCGCCTTTATAATGCTGGGATATTGCGGAGTGCGGTGATGAACAACAAACAAACAAACAAACAAACAATTGCAACAAAAGTTGCAGAGACCATGCAGCAAACCGTACTACGGCTGCAACACGATTCAACTTTATTTGCATCCGATGGTTTCAGTTCAACCCATCTGTTCCAATTCGTCCTGACATCCCAGGGTACAAGAAGAACCCAACCCTGAATGACCGAATCCACTGTATTGCCTTCGTGGTCGACAGCACTGCCATAGATGTCTTCCCAGACAAAATACTACAGACGTTCAAAGCAGTTCAACACAGGGTGAATGTCCAAGGTGAACTACTGATACCAGGATATTTATACATAATTTCCAAATCTATATGATTTGTACCAGTGAAAGTGAGTACACTGGCAAATCCATTATGCAACATTGAAACATTATGTAGAGGTTTCAAAGAGAACATTCCTCTGCGTTCCCTGACGCATGTGTGTATGATAAAAGTCCGTGATAAAAATGCTGTGTATCATCTTTGTCCTCTAATCGCTTGGCTTTAAAACCACTGTTCATTATTTTTCCCCCGTTAGGCCTGCCCCAGGTGGTGTTGCTGACCAAGGTGGACAAGGCGTGTGAGGTGGTCAGCAAAGACGTGTCCCAGTTGTTTATCAGCTCTGCCATCAGAGACGTTGTAGAGAAGACGGGAGAGTTGCTGGGCCTGCCTCGCTCTCACGTGTACCCGGTTAAGAATTATGAGGATGAGTTGGTCCTTGATGACAACGTGACCATCCCTGCTCTGACCAGCTTTGTCCAGATGACGAGGTTCGCTGACGACTTCCTCAACGACTGTCCAGACCTTGATGAAGACTGATCAATGACGTCCCTGTTCTGACCAGTGTCGTCCAGATGACCACATTTGCTGATCGCTTCGTTAATGACTGTCAAGACAATTGTTTTGACTCGTGTTATCTTTGTTGCTGAGTGTCAAACTCTTCATTATAATGTTTGAAGATGAGTATCCCTGTGGGATTATTATCATTCTTCTAGAATGTAGTTGAAAACTCATTTCATCATGTGAAATTAACAGTGCTTCCAGTTTCTTATTACATATTTGTCCCTAGATCTAGTGGATACACACCTAACCTGTACTTCAGCTTTATGTATACCTGATATTTTCTAGGTTCTCATGAATTGCATGTTGAAATCAAGTGATTCTGAATTTTATTTCATTCTACCATGACACAGATTTTTTTTTCTTCATATGGATGTAGCATTAACCAGTTATATGACATAATTACATCAAATTATACTTAATTCGGTAAAAGAAGATCCAAGTTAGCAGTTTTGTTGTGTAAATTTATCATATTTTACTCAAAACAACGTGAATGTAAACAATGTATGGTCACCATGAGTACGCCACCAATCTCATTGTCACTCTTCAAATAGGATTGTTGTGATTGCATGTATCACCACTGCCGACCAAAATAGATCACTGTAAAAATATCCTTATTTTTGTGTAATATGTGTGTTGATTCGTACAGTGGATTTATATTTGTCTTTCAAAACTGATCTGCGTTTACGTCATAGGCTACACTTCACCTAATGGGATTTGTTTCCACAAAATCAGTGGAACATCATGCGGACAATATCACTTCTTGAATTATTAAAGTAGAACGTGCACAATGGTGGGTTTTAAACAGAGGGTGCACATGCACACGCACACGGACACAGTCACGAACAGAAACACGTGCTGGGACTAAAACTGACTTCCCTAGTAATGATACAAAATTATAAAGACTGTATAATTATTGTAAACTGTAATCACAATTTTAATAAAGTGTTGTTGCCATATTTTGTTTCAAGTGTGTTTTACGGCGATGTGATATGGCACAAGAGTTTGTAAATCAAAGTTTTAGACGTTACTGTCCTATGCAGAAAACTACGGGTTTCCCGTAGCAAGCAGAATGAAAGCCGTTAATATGTTGCTGCTGGGAGCCGGTGGGGAGGGAGGGAAATCCAGCTGCTGGGTTGTGTTCCAAAGGGTGATATTCTTCACTACGTAAATACATTCGTACATATTGTACATTCGTAAGCGTACGTGTGTATTTGAGTGCAATATCTGCGAGTTATGTACTCACAGCTAAAATCTTGGGGCATTACAATATGTAATCTGTAGAATAGGTGCATGTTGCCTTGTTGTTTAAAAGTGACAGACATATCAATTACAGTAATTCTGCAAGATTATGAATTTTCATCGTCGTTATCGATGTATCAAAGTATCACATGGCATCAAAGTGTATTCTTAAACAACAGCATTTACATTCTCGAACGTAACCCGTGAGATCCGGGTTAGAAGTGGTCTTCAGCACGCCATGCTTGTTGAAGGCGACTAACGGGATCGGGTATACAGTCAGGCTCACAGACTTGGTCGTTACATGTTACTTGTCATCGTATTGCGTAGATTGAGCTCTCGCTGTTGATCACTGGATTGTCTGACGAAGACTCGATTATTTACAGGCCGCCACCATATAGCAGGAATATTGCTGAGTGTGGCATTAAACTATAAGTCAATCAAGCCTCAGCTTCATGGAGCAGACGATTTGCTTTTCGCTCGCTATTTGAAACCGACGAAACCTTTCCAGGGAAATACGTCACATCCTTAAGTCACTTCAAGAATCAGTGAGTGAGTGAGTGAAGTTTTACGGCGCACTCAGCAATATTCCAGCTATATGGCGGCGGTCAATAAATAATCGAGTCTGGACCAGACAGTCCAGTAATCAACAGCTTGAGCATCGATCTGCGCAAATGGGAACCGACGGCATGTGTCAACTAAGTCAGCGAGCCTGACCACCCGATCCTCATACGACAATCATAGTCGCTTTTATGGCAAGCATGGGTTGCTGAAGAACCCGGATCTTCACGGGTCACTTCAAGAATCAACAACAGGGGCATGGCATATATAATAGATGACAAAATGGTGACTGTCAAATTGACATCTTCCCGGGTCCTTGTTCCAGTTAGGGCAGTGTGTTAGTTCTGTCATTGGTTATTAACTAAACTTGATCACGTGATGCAGGTCTACGGCTTTGTTGAACCATTCCAGCATTGAATAATGAACAGACTTAAGATCACGAACGTCCCCGTCCCAGATATCTGGCTACATTTTACGTCAATGAGTATTGAATCACATCAACAAATATAGTTATCCGTGGCAACACTGTTTGCTAAGAAGACTGACAAAATGATAATAGGTGACTTATATAGCGCTTAACTCCATTCCGCACGGGTATGCTCTAAGCACACATCAAGATGGACATCATTACCCTGGATAACCCGAGCTGCCTGTGTGGCGCTAGAAGGTTAATAATCATATGGCTTATTCCACCGGGTACCCATTCTCCGCCTGTGTGAACTGAGGCAATTTTATACAAACTCGCTTGCCTAAGGTCACCGTGCTTCGTTTAGGGCAGTACAGAAATCCTAAAAGCTCTCAAGAGTCAAGCTGACAAACACGGCCACTCTTCCAGGGACTCACCGTGGCCAAAATGCCCAACTTCTTCTGATTTGTACCTTGGGCTCTACACACAAGACCACCCACCTCCACATAAACTAGAAACTCAACAATCGGGTATTTTTATAATTTGGCTGCACGCACACATATGATTGGTAACACGAGCTCCACACAAGTGTGCATTCAAATGTATTCAGATGCAATGCTTCCTTAAAATCAACACGTAATTACATCAGTAAGATGAATAACATGCAATCAGAAATATAAGAATAAGGGGCAATAAGTTTCAAGAAAGGATTGATAATGTTCAGGAATATGCACTTCAGCATATTCCTGGAAAATTCAAATGTTACAATACATGTAATTGTTAATTCAGTTTAGAATTAACCACTGTGGGGAGAACACCGATGTTCGGGATTCTGATAAGCTGGAACGCACTGGAAGCATTTCCTTATGACTGTTGTTCAATCAAGCTGTTAATGTGTCATTAAGGAGAAATGAGAAAATATATCAATTATTATATAACGTTAACATTTAAACTTGATTCCCGTTGCAACTGGGCTGGTGGATGCGTGGATCGGTCAGATTGTAAGCGCTACTGGCTTATGTGAGACGTTCGTTCTTCTACGTAATTATACATGTTCACATGAGCCTCACAATACTCTCGTGTGAAGCTCATTTCTGGTGTCCCCCACCGTGATATTGCTGGAATATTGCTAAAAGCGGCGTAAAACCATACTCATTCACTCACAATTATCCTCTTTGATAACCATTAAGTCTCAATTGATAGAAACAAAACAAAAGCTAGTTTAATATGCCCCTGTGAGGTTGGAGATTCATTTTGGGCTTCTGCATTACAGAGAAAGCTTGATGGAAGGCAGGCGCGTAGCAAGCCAAGTTTTTCGTGTACGCCCGATAGGTTGCAAGGCTTTGTATTTAGATAGTATAGAGGTCTTGCCAAACTTTCATTGTGATCTTTAACCAAAATAATGTGTAAGCCCGGGCTTTTTTCATAATGGTAGCTACGCCCCTAGACTGGAAGGAGAACGACATGGTTCAGGAGGTTCATTCTCAGGACGTGGACATCCTGAAATTTTGCATTCGCAGGACGTGGACAGGCGGGGTACTTTTGATGTCGTCTGTTGTTTCTGTAAGGGACTAACTGGTCGTGGAGTGTTAAAATGTGAACTGTTATCCGGAACTGTTAAGGCTTCATGACAACTACTCATCCATACTTCCTGTGATCAAGCTGTCAAAATCATATCTGACCGTACTCACTACTTAAATTCGGAATACAACCTCCTCCCTTCAGGCCGCCGCTACAAAGTTCCAATTGTGAAAACTAAGAGAGCCAGTACATCCTTTATTCCAAGTACCATATCTCTCTTAAACAAATGTGAAGATACCTAAATCAAAGAATTTATGTAAATATGTTTGGTATCTCTCTAATGTGTCAGTAGCTCTGCTGATGTAACACAAATTCCTGAAAAGGCATTAAAGTATTATTCTATTCTATTCTATTCTATATATGCTTGTCTTAAGAGGCGACTAACGGGATCGGGTGGTCAGGCTCGCTGATTGGGTTGACACATGTCATCGGTTCCTAATTGAGCAGATCGATGCTCATGCTGTTGATCACTGGATTGTTTGGTCCAGACTCGATTATTTATAGACAGCCGCCATATAGTTGGAATATTGCTGAGTGCGGCGTAAGACCAAACTCACTCACTCACTCCTGTGATCATAACTACTTGAAGCGTTGTAAAATGTATCTTATTTCCCGGGTGTTTGGAAAGGCAGACAACTCCGTGAACCATTTGACGAACAGAAAATAGGATTCAGCGAAATTCGTCCACGTGTTCATGGTACCGGTGAGACGACGATTGTGTGATTCAAAGGTACATATTTGATTTTACTGACGATATATCTTGACACTCATTGTTTACATATGATCAACATGTCCTTTTATGATAATTGTAACCTGGGACGACTTGGTCCCATGTCTGAAGTCGTGAGCCGCGATGTGACCCGACACTGGTGACAGTCATGACCATCGCAGACGAAACAATTTCATCCTTTAGAGTATCTGCTAATCACAACGCGAATATGATAATTATGTAGAATGCCAAATCTCTTGGAGTTATTTCCTGTGTTTGGGACTGAAAAAGTTTGATATATACTTCCTGTTCATGTCTTTATACACATATTTGTTACCGTAAATTTGTCGAATTCTGATTGGTCAGTAGCCGAAGCATACGAAACCATGTAGGCAGATTCGCCAGGGTATATGGACCGTATACCCCGGCCCGTCATACCTCGAATTCGATCATTTTAAAATATCATAAACTAAGGCAAAATATCATAAACTAAGGCATCACGAGTTATCTCCCTTTATGTGACTGTTTACTGTTTCATTAAACATACAAAATAAAGTTTATTGCCGTTTTGTTATTCTCTATTGAATGCTGTTTTTAAAGATAAGCTAAATAAGGAGATCTTAAGGGTAATACATTCGCTTACAGGCGTCTTACAGTACCGTACACCTGTTTTTAAATCACCGTGTAACTAATAGTATTTCTGCCCCCTTGCCTTAAGGTACTCGTGTGTCAGCGTATTTATGTGCGTTATGATCTGTTGCGTGGACTATTTCTGTCTTTTTACATGCATATTGTAACATATATGCAAACTTTAGAAGTAATGTATAAATAATCGATTCGAATGTTAAACCTACGCGAGTGCATGCGTAGATTTAATGATTTAATAAGATTCTGTAATGCTTATATTTAAACCAAAGAACACATCTGGAGCTTGGAATTGATAGAAAAGCCAGCAAGCCTACGCATTGTTACGTGTTCACTTCAAGTTGCAACACAGAAGACTTTAAAGGCCAAACCTCAGTGGTTGTACTATTACAATGGCAGTATAAAATGTAATAGCAGAGGAAAAAGCAGTAGTCAGTACTGACTGACTGACTGAGTTTGGTTTTACGCCGCTTTTAGCAATATTCCAGCAATATCACGGCGGGGACACCAGAAATGGGCTTCACTCATTGTACCCATGTGGGGATTCGAACCCGGGTCTTCGGCGTGACGAGCCAACGCTTTAACCACTAGACTACCCCACCGCCCCAGTAGTCAGTAGGCATATGTATTGGCAAATAAATGGTATTGCAAAATATTGCGATTCAGGTACCCGTATTGCGATATATTGGGAGCTTAAGTGTTTGACAGTGAGTGACTATGTTTGTGCATTTCAATCCTGTTTTCTACATTATAAGTCCCTTAACATATAACATCTGATAACAGCAATCTCAAAATTAGGTTGCATAGTCAGGGATTCGATTTTCTTTTTATGCAATTATAGCATTACAGTATGACGTTTTGTCACTGAATAACGAAGGAAAACATTAGTTGTGAATGAAAGTATGTGTAGATTTTAATTTAAATCATAAAGGTAATCACAAAAACTTCATATATGTTCTTTACCCAATATACCGGTTCTCCGAAAAAAATATTGCAATACGTATCGTTTGAAAGCGTATTGCGATACCGGTAATATCGTGCAGTCCTAAAAGTCAAAGAATAATGCTATTTACCTACAGTAAAATATGCCCTGGCGAGATATAAATTCTGAATGTGTAATCTCCACGTATCATCTTCACTAGTCTTGATGTAATGTGAGATGATAGGGCCATGCGCTTGCCCTCTTAAGTAGCCTTTAAAAGTCATTCGGAAACTCGAGTTCTATGCTGGATTAATCTGCTGATTCCATATGATTCTAACAAGCGTTTAGATATGGCAACCTGCACATCAATATCCTCAGCTGAATCCTAACACAAACAGTAATGCAGCTTCAACGTTAGTTTAAAATTAATCCTGGCATGTCGAAGTGTGAGGGTTGTAAAATACTGTACAGATTCCCTAAGAGGAACATACGGAGACCACCGACATTACTGTCCAACAAGCATTAGAATGAGGTGCGCGAATGACGCGTTTGTGAAAGGAGAGGGGAAAACTGATCCACTACCTACTCGAAGGGGGAACAGGTGTGAAAACAGGAAAGGTGATTTTTGTGATCCTTGCAGTAATCACTTTCTACGCCATGATTCGGAAGCGTCGGGTTTCTGCTCAAGCATTTGTATACTAGTATCGTGTAAAGTGGACTGTTAAAAGAGTATTAAACTCTGCAGGTATTTGAAACTTATCATGTCGAACTCTAAATTGGGTAAACGGGGTCAAGTCGTTCATTCCCAAACACGTGAGGTTGCCCACAATGTCATTTAGTACATGTGTACTATTTCCGACAGCACACAGTGCATTCAAAAAAGCCAGCGATGCTACTGGTATATCTGCCAGGACCTTGAGCAAAATAAATGACGATGGTAAATGCGTACCCGCGATGGGTACCAGTAAGTTCACAAGCCCAGGGAAAGTGCGTACTCGTACCGAAGGGAAAACTGAATTTGATGATTTTGATAAATGCGCAATTCGCCAGTACATTCAACACTGCTACACAGTAGCCAAGACAATGCCAACACTGACAAGCATTATGAAGATGGCTACTGATGATTTGGGATATACAGGAAGTAAAGAAACAATGCGTAAATGTTCAAGTGGTTTCAAATGGCGGAAAACTCGTTCAGACAGACAGGTCCTAATGGAGCGAAAAGACATTGTTGCATGGCGTTTGAGATATCTCAGAATGATTCGCCAGTACCGTAAAGAACACCGTCCAATCGTGTACATCGACGAAACATGGGTACACGCCCATCACACCGTATCAAAATGTTGGCAAACTGATGAGGAGGGAGCAGTTGGCGGTATACGGGTACCATCGGGGACAGGTCCAAGATTAATTATAGTCCATGCTGGTACATGTGAGGGGTTCATTCCTAATGCTTCTTTGATATTTAAAGCCAAACAAAAGAGCGGCGATTACCATGACGAAATGAATTTCAACAATTTCTCTAAGTGGTTGCAAGAAAAACTTATTCCTAATCTGCCCCAAAACTCAGTAGTTATAATGGACAATGCCCCTTACCATAGCAAACAAACAGACAAAGCTCCAACAACTGCCAATCGGAAAGATGAAATCAAATCGTGGCTACAAAGGCATGATATACCTTTTACACATTCAATGTTGAAGGCTGAATTGCTTGCACTTGTGAAATCATGTCCGCGCGGTCCCGTATATCATGTCGATGAAATTCTGAAAACCTATGGGCATATTGTTCTCCGATTAACTCCTTACCACGCCGATTTTTCAATGCCATAGAATTAATTTGGGAGAATTTGAAAAATTGGATTGTGTCCAAGAATTTTCGATTTCAAAATGGCTTCTGTACAGAGGACTTGCTAAGAACGATTGTTATCTATTGGCCAGAAGGAATGGTCAGACTGTTGCAGACATGTGATGGAAATTGAGGATCGTTACTGGCATCGAGAAATTGCCCTAGAGGATGAATCGAAAAACTTGTCATCGAACTTTGCGTCGATACTGATGACAGTGATATCAGTGATAGTGATGATGAGTAGCAGATTCCAGAGACTTACATGTAGCAAATAGCAGATAAACTACCACTGAGCCATCAAATTACTAAGTTTTGTTTGATTAATTTATTAGTACCCCGTTTTGAATTTACATAATACATAATTCCCGTCGAGGACAGCACAAACGTATTATCCATAAAATATTCACACACACAGAACCTAGGCTAGGATAGAAATTAACTTTTGGTATTTTTTTATTGATAAACACAAAAATATTCGAGTGTTGTATTGGGTTGTGTATGGAAATCGTCAACCGCAAAATAGCAAATAGAACCCATTCCAGAAGAGCGAGAGTAGACTGACACGCTTCACAGAAGTTTATCGCTTTACATACCCTCGGCCCCTTAATGGTAAAGTGGACTGCACCGCTATTCAGATTGACAGGTTCAAATGACAGGTCGGCATTATTCTTAAGTTCGTCTCACAGTAGTAGTTGTTCTCCCACTGAGGCTACATGTTAAATTTTGTATGACTTCAGTTAACCTATCTTTTAAACAAAGCATGCTGACCCTTAGTGGCCTTGGGTCTGTGGGTAGCCTAGTTAAAGGTTAAAGCGTTCCCATTGGTATTGTGTGTCGAATATTGCTGGAATATTGCAAAAGCGGCGTAAAACCATACTCACTCACTTAGTGGCTCACCGTCATTTCCACTGACATGATTCTTTTGACTTATTATTATTGATAACTCTTAGTCATCATTGAAAATAATAACTGCAAAACATTCGTTCAAAGGTCTTTAAGCCCTGTTCATTTCATCATAATATTTTTTTTTTATTATTTCACAGGCAATTGACGATGGCCAAGATACAGTCTCGCTACAAATCTATCCTCAGTAAATGGTTGGGAGGGAGGAAGGAATACACTCTGTTGTACCAGGCTACCAGAGATGGATGTAGTGCGGAGGCCTTTCATAGAATGTGCAATGACAAAGGCCCGACTGTTACCCTGCTGTATAACACAGCGGACTATGTGTTTAGTGGTTACACCGCCGTGCCGTGGAAGGATACGCCCCTCACTTGTTCTGGATGTAATAATCCTGCCAATCCACCAGGTCAGACGGCATGGAACTGCCAATATTGCGGCACAGTGTGCAACATAAACAACGTCGGTACAACCAGTCAGTATAGCAATGACGCCACCGCCTTCATCTTCAGACTTACAGCCAGAAGTCCTTCAAAGCCAAAACTCTACCGTGTGAAAAACCTGGAAAAGCAGTTATGCAGAACTCCCATTACGGCCCATGTTTCGGGTCTGACCTACAACCATTTACGAAGAGTGTTACCAAGACTGACAACTACTTCAAGGGAAATGGGACAATAAACGTAGGAACCCACTACGACATGAATGGCGATGACAATAATGTGTTTTCTGGGAGGCAACCTTCAGTACACCGATATTGAGGTCTACCATATCACGGGTAAAGAGCTTGAAATAACTTCACAGGCTCAACATATCATATTTCATTTCATTCAAACAATTACCTTTAGCAAGCAAACAAGTGTTTTGTTCCTTGCTCGTCTGTCTGTCTGTGTTTGTCTGTCTGTCCATGTCTGTGCGTGTGCGTTTGCCTGCGTGCGTGTGTGTTTGTGAGTGGAGTGGGTTTAGTTTTACGCTGCACTTAGCAATATTCAGGGATATATAATAAACTCTTATATATACTCATATAGGTATATACACATACTCCTTTGTGATATGTATATTGGACATACCTGAATTTAAATAACACTGACCATGTTCTGTATACCTTCCTATAGAGCCAACAGGCATGCCCTCTGCTTCTATCGATGGTGCCTGGCGCAAATTTGGACAAGTAAATCGCGAGGTTCGTAAATGAGTGATATAGCAACTGTTGTTACATGTTTGTTTATTTTCACAGAGATTACGTATAGATTTAAGATATGAGTGTGCAGATGCTCCTCGGTGAGCTTGTTGACTTATCATACTTCGGAAACTGTGGCTGAATTCAGGTTACACGACTTATATAGTCCCCTGTAGGAGTTTAACTTGATTAAATCATAACCGCCTGAGAACGGAAATTGGTACATCTAAAGTAGGTCTTGTAGCGATCTCACAAACTAATGGTGTTATATCTTCAGAAACTTATATGTATTATTGATTCTAATATATGTGTACTTTCTCCAAGAAAGTAGTTTCTAAGTGATGGGCTAGTTGTCCTTGAAGGAAGGTTCTGAGTGTCTTTATCATCCACTGAATGTTTTTGAAGGAAACAAACCCTAACGTAAGATGTACTTTCGATTTCTAAACGGTGAGTGAGTGAGTATGGTTTTAAGCCGCTTTTAGCAATATGTCAGCAATATCACGGCGGGGACACCAGAATGTAGGGGAATTGAACCCGGGTCTTCGGCGTGACGAGCGAACGCTTTAACCACTAGGCTAACCCACCGCCCGATTTCTAAACAAATTGATACGAGTAATTGTCATGAAAAAGACTGTTTGGTGGCACAGGTTTATCACACCACTGTACGTAACAAATGTGGCACCACATGCCGGGTAGCAAACTGTGTTGATGCGTCGTCGTGTAAAATTATCACAGCTAATATTTCAAGATGGTGAATGAATAGAATTAGACAATTTACAATATGTTAATTTACTCTGCAGGATTTACTATAAATATATATTAGTTATGGGAGTTTTTGTGATAAATAATGCTCACATTGTTGTCCTTCATATTAACTGAAAACGATATGAAGAATCTGCAACACATTTGGACTTCTTGAACTGCCTTCTTAGATTCTGTCTCTCGAAATTGTAATGGCCTTATTTTACAGTGGTTTCCTATATTTTGACATTGTGAGTAATAATGATATGGTCACATGTAAAGATCGTTAGCACTTCATGACGAGGTGTATATTCAATTCCTGGAATGTTTTCTGATGTCAGTATAGCTTCAGCATTTCTTTCAGATGTGCTTTGTCTTACATTGAACGATTTACACCACCGGAAGACAGCAAAGGTCAAGGCTGTTAATGTGCTATTATTAGGTGCGGTTTGGAGCTGGAAATCCAGCTTTTTAACTCCATCAACTCAGTCTTCCAAGGGGGAGATAACTGGCCTAGCAAGGGAGCGGAAGTGCTGACAGGGCTTAACAACTACGGTAAGAGACATCGATGTGCTAGCCGAACAGGTTCGACTAAACTTAATAGGCACTAGTAGGATTCAACTGTCCGACTCGTCAGCCTACAATAGCCACTACTCCAACCTTGGCAATTTCTCCTGGTGATCTTTCTAAGCTTGCCGTCTGGTCACGGCACATCACCCTCTTTGGAGACTATCAAGTTCAACAGTCCATCGTTGGCAAACCATAGGTCTTCATGACAGGCTTCAGTAACACCATATCCTGGCTGCTTCAATACAAACCACTTGTATTTACTAATAACTGGTTTTACGTATTAATGCCACTTCAACTAGGACCTGTTCAGTTGCCCATTATACCACCAATACCACTATTATTTTACCTCCTAATACAATTTAATACCCGTACAACTATCCCACAATAATCAAATGTATGCTAACACAACCCGTCAAAACATTACCCAATAATAATACATTTCTTATTCAAATGGTAAACTCACATTTCCACAAAATGTCATTCGAAATGCAATACAAAGGCACTCAATATTCAGATTTATTCTACACACTTCCAAAGAAATAATATTCAAAATGCAATACAAACATACTATCACGCATTTCTGCCACTAAACAATTAATTGAAATACACGTCTGGAAGTTTGCACCACGATATTCTTCGCTGAGTATCTCCCTCTCACCCCAAACAGCCACGCTTTTTATCACGCACTCCTTCGCACAGCCGGTTGCGTTCCCGCGCGCCCGTTCTCCCGCCGAAACACACACAAAGACCAGGAGGTGCCGTTCCACTAACCGATCACCAGCCCTATGCCAATCATTAAGCCCTAAAGTCCAATACTTAGCGTGACGTTACGATCAGCCCACCGTTCCACCTAACCAAATGCATAAGTCAATCGTAAAGTTGGATTAAGATCCAAATTCTAAGTTGCTCCGCGGCAACTTAGGATCGCTAAAATCAATCGATAGAGAAGCCAAAATGGCGGCTTTCACGGTATTGTGGCGTGAAGAAGAAGAAGCGTAGCTTCGCCACCGTGAGCAGGATTTTCGAGACCGCTCATTAGATTCTAGGTTACATCATCGGATGATGTGCTTGTAGCGAGGTATAGAATGCCTCGATAAGCGCGGTGAACTGATTAACAAAGGTTCAGCCGGTACATTATTAATGCCAGATATCAGGGCCTGAACACGCACCTTTCCCTGAAAACCAAGGTGTTGACTACCCTGGAATTTCTGGAAGGTGGACTGCTTGTTAGACACCGGGAGATCTTAATGGGTATGTCCAAGTCAAGCGTAGCCTAGGCTGCTCAATCCGGCCATTCAGGCTATATGTGATGCGTTGGATAATATGGCCTTTTATTACCCACGTGGTCAACGTATGGGTAGTTGCATACTAATCTCGTACGTCACACGTGTGTCGTATCGCGTTGACCTGTGTCGTAACGACTTGACCTGAGATTCTAACGATTTGATTGGATAACCGATGACCTCTCAAGTTAGGTCACATTCACGGAGGCGTAACTATTTTTTCATTCACCAACAAACACGTGAATCCATTCATTCTATAACCGTGCATTGTGGGAATGTAAACATCGCGAACGTTGCCGTGTCGCTGTTTAATTGTGAGTCGAACTGAGATATTATACCCGTCGAAAAACGTGAACGCAATGTTTCCACCAGTGATGTTAGCCGAATGAAGCAACTGCAAACCAAGAAACGGGGTGCTACGGAGTAGTTTACTGTAGGAGGCTGTACGAGGCGATGACAACAGACATGCATCGTGACGTCGGTTACCAAGGCAGTGACGTCATTACAGTGACGTCATGCAAATATTGTACTACAGTACAAAACTCTTCCGCAACCTCTTTATGAAACCGGTTTCGGTTTGAAACCAAAAATATTAACAAAAATACGCTATTTTGTCAATTTTAATGCATGTAAGACGTGGGTAATAAATAAAATACCACACTCGGTCTCATTACATACGAATTATACGAATCTCGTGACCTTTCTATGTTATCTGACCTCGCTTTTGCTGATCGGTCAGATACACAGGAAGGACACTCGTTTCATATAATTCGTATGTAATGAGATCCTCGTGTAGTATTCTCTATCGACCAGACACGGGGAGTATCATCAGGACAAAGAGTGATTTTTTCAAACTCGCTTGGAGTTTCCTAAGGTGATTGGTGCCATTGATGGGACTTTGATCCCGATTGCTAAGCCCCCTGCTGACGAAGAGGCTGCTTTTGCCATGCAGAAAAGGGCTCCATGCCATTAATGTGCAGGCAGTATGCGATGCATCCCTCAGGTAAGATGGTTGATGTTTTGATGTAATGCAATAATAAGTAGAATTCATAAGTTTCGGTATACTGACTCGAGCGAAACACTTCCTGTTTACATTAGAAAACGATCTTGACCAATGGCTATTGGTTTCTGTCACTAACAGATGGGGCCTCTGATGGTTAGACTACTGGTTACCAACTCGTCATCATTTAATTATACTTTAAAATCGTTAGTGAAATGAAGATTAAACACAGCAATGCATATTTCTATTGATAACACGTTAGGAATTATATCAAAAAATAAAATGTCATGGTGAGGCTAAAGGTCCTCCTGCAAGCAACAAATTATTTTCTCGTGTTTTGTACTCAGTTGGTAGAGCTAAGACTGTCGTTCCAAAAATCCTCGCTTCCAAATCCCATCGGGCACTGTTCGATTGGCGGATCCAGAGGTGTGTGTGTGTGTGTGTGTGTGTGTGTGTGTGTGTGTGTGTGTGTGTGTGTGTGTGTGTGTGTGTGTGTGTGTGTGTGTGTGTGTGTGTGTGAAGGGGTCTGGACCCCTTTTTTTTGTTTTGAAAAAATGACTTAAGACCACATTGAAGATTTGTTTTATAAGTTGAGGAGCAGGGGTGGGGTGGTCCGAAACCACCAGCCACCCTCTCAAAATTTGTGGATCTGCATGCTGATCATATATTAATGCTTTTAAGTTTATTATTTGTAGTTTTCCCATTCCTAATATTCCCTATTTCTTATTCTTATTACGTTTTGCAGTTTGATTGAAGAACTAAGCCAAATAGAAAAAAAATGTGCAGTCTCTTTATATTAAAAAATGTACATTACTTTAACATTTCAGATTTACTAATGTTGTGGCAAGATGGCCAGGATCTGCGCATGATTCCTCCATTCTAAACAACAGTATCATTGGACAAACTATGGGGTGTAAGAATACACAGACTTTCAATTACTATATATGGATATGAAAATGTAAAACATCCTTGGTGTTCACAATTTCTCATTATTTATACACTGTTTTGATAAATATGTACCTGCAGCACTTTCCTGAGGGAGACATGCTTCAACTGTTGGAGGTTGATCTTCTATAAACAATGTACATACAGGAGCATGATTATTTGATTAATTAATCAAAAATAGGTACAGATAATAAATCCCTTGATAAACAGTTACTTAAAATTACAGTTATACTCAAAATCTAATTCATATATCTTCATTGTTATGACCACTGGTTTTGGTGAAAAGGTGTCAAATTAAATTATAATTACCAGTACAAAGTGGAGTTTCAATTTCACCATCAATTCCCCTCAACCTGACAAATAGGAATGGTTGAGAGCACCTGAAAACATGAATTTGAACATTTGAAGAAAACTATAATTTCACATAAGAAATAAAATTTGTGGTACATGTAATAAATGGCACTTTTGATATTCAAATGAATCATCTATTTAACCTCACCAGGTAATATACAACTTGTAATTATAATATTTTATGCAACTAATTTTCTCTTGTCACAACTAAAATACTACTCAACAAAATAGATTTATGATAAGGAAAAATTAAATTTCATCTTCCATTTATTATATCTGTGAAGTAAACATTTCATACCTTTTCATCCAGCTCATTGAGCATAACAGCAGAGGGACCACCGCCAGTCTTGCAGGCCTCCTTTTTCATGAGCTGAGCTCTTTTTTTTACCTGGCATTTGAAATCAAATATTTCATATAGTCTTTTGGCCACATACTCATTACAGGTTCTGAATTTTAGGGAACCTAGTTCATCACTTTGGTATAGAGACAATGTGATATACAATTTTAAATCAGATGAAAGAATTTCCTTCTGGAAAATGATCATGTACATAAAATTTTCATCATACAATTTTCATGTACGTCTTCAATCCTCTAGTCTCTTTCATTTACAGAATAACACTTTTTGATCTGTAAATAGTGAATACATGTACACTGATATCATTTGTGACAGTCAGATGAGTTGGTTGGGTAAGTGTAAAATCATAATGAATCTTGAGGTGATAGATAATTTCAATTGTTGGTTGAATGTATTATTTTCAAGGTTAATCTATTCAAAGAAAAAACAAAAGGAATTTTTTACCTTATGTCATTCCACTTCTTGCGGACTTCACACGCCGATCTCACACCAGCTGTGTTGGCACTTATTCTGAAATATTAGTATAGTATAGCATCAATATACTTATCATAAAATAATTATCTGTTTGCCATAATATCAAATTCTTTGAAGAATATGTCAATGATATATATTTCAATCATCATTTCATTATAGTCCATGTCATTGTTCTTGCTTCCACATGACTTCAGAAAATGGGTTATGAAACTTAAATAAAAACCTTAATTATATTCACTTGTCCATTTTGATTTGTTGTACATGGCTCCAAGTTGGCTGTTTTCATTAATAATTTATGAAATTTATGAATTAAAATCTAAAATATATATTGTGTTGATACTTAGTTCAATGGCTATAAACCTGTTTAAGAAATGAGTCTGAAAGACAAATTATAAGTAGAAGTGCTTTTAAATTCACTGCAGACTCAAATCCC